AGAGTCCAACTCTCAAGTGAGTGGACCCTATGGGGATCAAACTCACAGACCTTGTTGTTATTAGCAACATGCTCTAACCAACTAAGCTAGAGATATTTGATAACAGCATACAGAAAGGAGAATGATAGAATAGCTAGAAGGTTTATTTGGGAATGAGGAGAAATTAATTCTGTTCCCATTCTGTTGATGGGAAAGAGTAGAGTAAGTATGTACTACTGTTGATTAAATTGCAAATTATCTGGATTTTGGCATATGCTTTTAGGGAAAATAAAATTAAACTTCTAATTTTATACTCTGAATTAATGTAACTCAATAAGTTACTGACAAACTTTCTTGCTGAAGAGAAACAAAGGGATTTTGCCTCATCCTGAGCCCTTCAGCTTAGAGAAAGAAACTGTTCAGTGGGTACACAATGAAAATCTGACATGAGCAGGTCTGAAGTTCACATATGTGATGAATTTGATATTCCATTCATCCTCCTTTTTTGCTGTGCTTTTGGTTTTTCTGTGCATATTTGATTTTAGGAGGAATTAATGGCATTTTCAAATAGGGTTCAAATATAAATTAAGGCAGCAAATGTGCAAATATGAAATAAGTGTTGTTAAGATGTAATATCTGGATAATTTTCCTCTTGTCTTTACTGTAGAAGATAAATCTACTAGTTGAAATCGTTGGGAAATGAAATAGCAAATGAAAAAACAGATATTTATTTGTCAATAAAAAGAGAAAAAAGCACTGCATGTACCTAAAGCGCTCATTTAAAGAGACTGCTAAGATTTAGAAAGTTTTTGTAATTCGCCTATTATGAAAACTGAAGACATCATTTTGTAGGAGGTTAAGATACTAGTCAAGTCAGCCTACTTATTGTTCCATAGTTCTATCTTCCCTTCATGCGCTCTTCCACAGTGTTAATCTTTTTTGAAGCTATCTTACTTTGTTATCACTTACTCTGCTACTCTAAACACAATATAAACAAATGAAAACAAGTGAAGAGGGGTGTTTCAGATTCTAAAGGATTATGACTATCATACTGTGTTAATTTTTCTTCCTGTTTGAAGACTGTCTTGCGTGGTTGTTTGACTATTTTTTAATGAATTAGAAGAAAATTAACATTTAATTTACTAGATTCCTGATACACAGTCGAAAAACTCTCAAGGCTTAATGTTTACAATCAGAGTTCAAAATGTAGTAAATTTGATAATACTGTGGAGAGACGTGTCTATTGATAATGAATTGCCAGTGAAATTGCATATCTAGCCATAGTGTATAAAAATCCATGTAATGGTGAAAGTTTGTTAGTTTTTTATTGTCTTTGAATAGACTAAAAATAATATTTTATTTTTAAGGATGCCAAGCTTCGAACCATTAGAGAAATTAGCTGTAAAGAAATTGCATCAGTTGAGGTTTCACAGTAGACAAAGCACCAAAAACTATTGCCATGGAAATCTTGTTTTAGAAAACTTGTTGGCTAGGTTGTTTTACCTACCATTACTCTCAATTTACAAACTCTAGTGTTAGGATGGTACAAACAGTTGTAGTGGTGTTATGCATGTAATTCACATGAACTTGAAAAATATTAAAATAGTATTTAAAACTGGAAAATGTATAATTTTTCCAAAATGAAATGTGCAGATAAAAGCAATCATTATTTTGCAGCAACAGACAATTCTTTTTTTGGGCAGATAGATCATTCCATTGGTACCATTAGAGCTCCAAGACTGCTTCCTCAGGAAAATGTGTCATCCACTAGTTTTTTTTTTTTTTTAATTTCAGATGTACTATAGAATAACCATTGTTTGTTTTGTTTTTAGTGCAAAAGGAGTAATTTTTAATTTCTGGGAAATAGGACAAGCTAAAAGTCAAAATGAGGGAGTTTGTTATTTTGGGGGGAGAAGGAATTTGCCTCAGTAATGCCGGTTTTATTCCTGCATTGCAAAACTACAGAGAGCAACAAGTGTCAGACAAGCCAATGATTTTAGGACTGCAGTATTGGATTTGGGACTAGATTAAAGTAGCATGGAGATAGCCTAGAAAAAGGGTGAGCTAAACATATCAAGACACAAATGTCATGTGATCTGGTTTCCAGAGATTGTGCAAGAGAGATGCAGGAATAGTTCCTTTTTATATCAGAGGGCTACAAGCTCATCTTTCTTTGAATCACTTAGATCAGCTTATAATTTCCCCTTTGGATGGACTGATGAAACATGCATTTCTGCATCCTGATGTTGGCAGTGGCTGGATGGCTTGCTTACCCTCTCCTTTCCTCCTGTTTTATTCTATCTCTTTGTCTTTGTTCTTTCCAGACTTTGTTTTGGTTCATCTAACTTAGTGGTTTACAAAGCTTTCACTTACTTTCTGAGTATGATTCTTTAAGGGCTCTTCTTTTCCATTTTTCTCTGGTCACTTTTATTCTACTGATATTTATCATATGTCAGCATTCATACAGTTCCAGCAAGTACTCACAACACTTCTGTTAATTGGTAGGTTGCTTTTTTTTGTGTGAGAACAGAAACTGTAGGAAAATATTTGGAAGCTGTAAGTTTGTTTTTTTTTTTTCTGAAATTTCTGAGATTTGTGATCAAATGCATCTATATCCTCACAAGTATGTGTAAATTAAGTCTAGCCTCTGGAAGGTTAGGTCTAGCTTCCCATACTTAAGAGCTATGTCTTAATGCTTGGTGTACCATTAGTTGGAGTAACTGTGGACAAATTGAGATAGTTCAGGAAGAATGCTTTCTTTAATAAGCAGAATTTTGAATTTCAGAAGTGACCAATAAGATCATAAGATTCATTAGATCAGATCAAGGATTTATGCAAGTGCCTCTCTGTGCTAAAGGGTGACATGTTGGTAAAGTTCATAAGAAGTTGAACAAGTATTGAGTTATCTTTCTCTCACAATTCCTGTTTCAGGACATTGATAAATATGAATTATTGCAGTGGGTCCTCATTAATCAAGCTGCAGTTCATAGCTGAAACAATGCTCACCAGTTAACAGGGGTCATTTTCCTGTATGGTCGTATCTTCATTTAATGATATGCAAGGCAGGCCTCTCACAGTTCTCAGAAGGTATTTCATTTGTTTGTTAGTTATTGTAGCAACTTTTGGCATCAAATACCAAATAATCATGGAGTATTAAAACTTGTAGACCAAATTATAAGCTGCAGATAGATGCTTACATAAATTAAAAGAAGCAATTTCACTAGTTCAATGCTGTTCAACATTTGCCAGTTCTTTTTCATTCAATTCTGTATTACAGGCTTTGAAAAGCTATGAAAAAATATTTATGCTTAATGTAAAGCTGATTGTCCTGTGCTTTACATTCCTTAGCTCTGGCAGCACCAGTTGTATATAGGAGCTTCTTGCTGGTGTCAAGACAATTTAGCAGAATTTGGAAAAAGCAGTTGCCAATTAAAGGGTTTTTTCTTTCCATTTCTGAGGACTTGAGCCTAAAAAGAAGAGACTATATTTACTCTATCTGGCTGATTTTCTTGCTTTCTTTTTTTCCCCAGATAATAGCTAATGTTGATTTAAAATAGACTACTTCCAGAACTGAAATATCCAGCTTTCATCTTTCCTTTACTAAGTCTTTCAAGCACCAGGAACTAAATTTATTGATTGTTGTAATGTCTTAATACTCTTTCTTCATAGAATATTATTTGAAGGATTCCAAAGGAGGGAATTACGAATGATTCACCCTAATTAATTCAAGGAAGTATCAACATTGCAAAAACCTCTGGTCCTTTTGGGATTAATATTCCCTGGAGTGAACTGCCTTAGCACTGCCTTAACTCAGAGGCAAAAGGAGGCTTCTCAGGGATCCTGTTAATTTAGTATTCTTTCTTCTTATATTTCCCAAACACTGCAGAGCTAGTCCTTTGGACATTTTGTTCAAAGAAAAATGATCTGTGTCTTGGGTATCTAGATTTGGGTTTCTTATCAAAGGCCCTTTCTGAATTAGAGATCTACTCTTTTTCAGATCCTGAAGGCTTGAACTGAGCAAGAACCAACAGAAATTAATTTTTCTTACCTGTATTTCTTCTGATCTGCAGCTTTTTATGAGTGGTAACATTCTGAAATAAATTTTTTGTGAATTATGTCACTCAAAGCAATTGGAATAGGCATGGTATGGGCTCTAAGTAGAACAGGAGTCTTAAAATGTTTTAAACTATGTTATTTACACACAAATCTTCCCACTTCTGAAGTAGTATTAGCATACAAAATTTATTAACAGGGTTTAACAAGTACAATAGCTTTCTTTTAATCTTTCTGCTTAGACTTAATGAATTAGTATGATGTATCTTAGCTGCATTGTTGAGACAGCAGTAAAGTTCTGAATTGAAAAAATAAAACTTGAAGTGCTTGCATGGAACTTTGATTAAAAATATCATCTCTAAACACTTTGTGTGACATTTTGTGAAAGACTACCTAATAATTACACAAGAGGCACTTATATTAACATAACTGCATGAGCATCTAAATCTACAGCTTTTGTCACAAGGTAAGGCTAAGATTCAGCATTATTTCAATACCAAATGCAGTCTTTGAACATGAACTATCAAGTTATTAGATCCTCCTGTACACATTTGAAATTAAATTTCTGAGAAAGTCTGCCCTTCTGCTGTCATAATTTCAAGGAAAGTGAAATAATTAGCATTAATTTGGTCATTAGATCACTGTTTATTAGATACTCACCATTGTCATACAGTTTACTGAAATATATTAATAGAAACTTGAAACTGGTTATATAGTTTGGATTGAAACCATTAGAGGTGTGTTTAAATATTTTTAAAGCGGTTAGGCCTGATTCAAACATAAGTTGCTGATGAATGTGGAGACAGAAAGATAATATGGTCCAGTTCTGTGAAATGTAAAAGATAAAAAAAAAAATCCCAAACCTCCTTTCAACCCTTTCCTAACTTTTCAGCTGTTGTGAATGAGCACTGATTGTCACGCAGAGAGGGTGGCTATTGAGATGTGAATCTTTTTTTTCTTTATCATAGCTGACTTTGGGCTTGCAAAGCAGAAGCAAGAAAACTGCAAACTTGCATCAGTAGTAGGAACCATTCTATACTCATGGTAAGTACTCCTGCATACAACATTCAGTCCAGTGACTTCTGTCTTCAAGGTTACTCTTTTGGAGCAGATAGGCAAGTTACAATGGAATAAGGAACAAGGTGGAAGGTATCCACCCACAGCTACTCTGCATAATTGGTTGCCTGCCTATTTTATTGTCTATTCTTGCACAGGGTAGTTACTGGGGGTTAAGTTGTTGCAAAAATGAACTAACTGTGATTGTTGTGATAAACTGAGAAAATGATTCGAGCTAATTAAGAGAAAACAGTGTAAGGTCAATATGACCTGGAGAGAAAAGAAAAACAAGTCGTAAAAGTTAATTGGGCCCCTATAAAAGCATAAAACAAGTTACCTCCCTTTTTACCTTGTGTAGGATTTATAATGAGAGAATTTTGTTTAGTTAGCTAGATAATAGCACCTTTCTTAAAATTTATAACTTTGTATAGATAACAAGCGAACATCTGCTGAAAGTCTGATTTAACAATATATTATGGATGCTTATAGATAACATTCTTGTTAAGAAATATCTGTGGAATGTCTGACCTAACAATGTGTAATGTTTATACTCGTGTACCTAACAATGTGTAATGTTTATACTTATGTATAATGAATATTCATGTAGTAGCTGGAAATAAATGTAGAACAAATGTCTTCTTTGGGTGTGACAGGCGTTGGGAGTTGTTGAACCCCTTCCCTGATCACCCAGCGCTGAATTTGCTTTTATCATATAATAAAATTCTGATTGGAAATTGCCCGACTGGGTTTCTATTTCTCACATTGTGTAGTAACTTATTCACATATATATATATATGGAATATCCGTATAATAAAGAAATGTGGGTGTAAAGTATAAAAAGATGCATGTAAATGGTATCAATTTCCATCACCACATGTGATGGCCTTACACCTGTGAGAATGCTTCTCCTGGGCTGTAGCAAGTAAAGGTTCCAAGCTATCAGGAGAGCTACTGATTGCTCTGAGTTAAGAGGAAGTCAAGAACCTAGGCGCTTGGTTGTTGAACATAATTCATGATGCCACTTTTGAAATTGTGGCTTTTGAATTCCTAGCGCCAATATGATAATGATTGACACTTATTCCCCAGAAATCACTAAATCCTAAAATGGCTTCAAGGGTGAGACCTTGTAATATGTTAAATATTCAAGTCTCATACCTTGAAGACTAATCCTTGGAATTCTTCATGGTGAGCAAAGGCAAGGCTGCCTCAATTGGTTCTCCAAATACTCCTGAAGCATAGCACAGTCTCTGAGTGACACTCAATCTGTGAGTGATAGTTTGGGTTGTTAAAGAGTAATAAGAGTTTGGTGCAACTAGTTGTGTGCCATCTTTTTCAGCTTCTCTGAAATAATTGGTTTTGTTCAGTTATAACTGGGCAGAAAAGCTGTTGATGAGAAGTTACTGTGCTCTTCTAAACAACAGTTTAAAAGTAGACGTGTCAGAGGTGTCAAAACCATGCCCCAGTGATCCTCAGGGTCACTGAGTTGTAATTTTCTTATCCAATCTAGGTTCAATTCCTTTTATCCCCTGTTAGATGCCTGTGTTTCTGTTCACTGATGTCTTTTGGTCTTTTAATATTTTGTAGGAAATTTTGGTTTGAAAGTAGTGTTCTGCAGATTTAAATACTCTCTTTTTATATATAATTTTTGCTTATACTATATTTATTATTATTCTCATACCCTGTCTTTGTACATGGAAGCTCACATAAGAGCTATGACTTTGGCAATTTTCTTTCTACCTCTTCGTCCAGTTATTTGGATGCAGGATTGAGGATAAAGTGTCACTTACATGTTGCAGTCTCTCAAGTGGTCTTTTGGGACATTAGTTGTCAGTTCTACTACACAAGCAAAATCATAGAAGCAGTGATCCTTGTCTGTCTGCAGTCAGAAAAAAGAACAAGGGTAAAGTACAGATGTCTTTGTATTTAAAATATATGCTTGAGTAATATTTAAAATGACAGGCTAAAATATTAAAATCTTTCCAATGTCATAGTAATTTAAGAATGTTCAAAAGGCTTTGCAAACAGCTGAATGCACTGAATGCCACCTTCAAGGTGCTTGGTTAGTACTGTGTATGACAGTGGGCTTTATGAAATAGAAACCTGTTCACAAGGAAAGAAGTGAACTGATTGAGTATTTTAACACAAGTCTTGAACAGAAGTCAGAGCCTATTGTCTTAATCAGTGCTTGGACTAGATTTTTTTTGTGTTTTTTTTTTTATATGATTTAAGTAGATGTGAAAGGCTATAAAAGTCAAAACATTGGGACTGCATATCTACCAATATTAGTTTTCCCAAAAAAAAAAAAAGGAAAGGAGGGAGACAAAGAGATATGAGACAACATTTTCATTTTAGAATGGCAGAAATTACTTTCTTCTGAATTGGCAGGATAATAGTTCTGGGTATTTTGAGTTACAACCCACCATTTTGGAGCAGACAATATAGTACAGAAACAAAACAATAAATAATAAAAGTAGTGTCTGATGCTTATTATTTAAATTTGGCTATGCAGCATTATTCAGAGTGTTTCAGATAAAAACATACCACTATATGTACCAAACATAATTGTATTTGGGCTTGACTGAATCAATTTGCTAATGCAATGTTTTAAACCCTGTGTCATCATAAAGTAACAGCAGACGGTGTTTTATGTTTAGAGAGAGGGCCTCATATAATTATGCTTTGTAATTGTGATGGTTTTTAATTTTACTTCATACTGATTGTATTCTACTATCATACTAATTAAATTCCTTTTAATTGGTTATATTCCTGAATTAAAGAATCCAGCAATGTGTATGTTTAGAACCCCAGATGTATTAAATTGATGTGTTTACACTTATTACATTAAAAATTGTGGAAAAAACTGCTCTAGGGAATTTGTAATGAATCCCAAAGTCTTTTCCCAGCTCATAAGTCACCAGAAACAATCTGCTCCAAGTTAACGGTGGCAGAGTCTTTATTATCGTGCTGTCTTGAAGGCCTTCCCAGAAGAGACACAGCAATTGTCCATGGTTATAGAGAATGATGTTTCCTTTCACTTATACCTTCCATTTCTTTGTTTCACAAAAAGGATTGTAACTTACAAAAGGGACATATGGAAGCAGATCAAGATAGACATATATATAATTGGATATGTATAGGAAAAATTTAGATAAACTCTTGGAAATGAAATAAATTTTGAGATTGGGATGGAATAGAGAATCCCAATTCCTTGAGAACTTTACTGATATTGAAAAGCTGTTGAGAAACTGTGAGAAGACCCCTCAGAAGTCATGAAGAAGTGGGCAAGAAGATTCCACTTTAGTTGACGAACTAACTTGATCTTTCTGAAACAAAATTGTTCTCAACTGTTAGAAAACTGTCGCACAGAACCATGTTAAGTAAGATTTGGCTTTTTGTGCTAAAGTTGAAGAGTTTTCTTGCTGTGGTGTTTTGAGGAAACTCTCATTTTAGTGGTAATTTAGAGGTACTATTTTACTTACATCTTCTCCGGTGTGGAGGATAAAATACTCCTTGTTATTACTTTTGGTTTATGGACTACACAGTCAGTCTGCATACTGTGTTATGTTAACCAGATTTCTTTTCTAGTACTGGTCACTGCTTCTGTTTATAGCCATATCTTGTGAGAACACTGCATAAATCAGTACTGTGATATGATTTGTATGATGTAGTCGCCATCACAAAAACATGGTGGGATGACTCGTATGACTGGAGTGCTGCCATGGGCGACTACAAGCTCTTCAGAAGGGACAGGCAAGGTAGGAGAGGTGGAGGGGTGGCTCTGTATGTTAGAGAGTCTCTTGACTCTGTAGAACTTGAAGTCAGTAACAATAAGGTTGAGGGCCTGTGGATCAAAATCAGGGGGAAGGCCAACAAGGTTGACATCCTGTTGGGAGTCTGTTGCAGACCACCCAACCAGGATGATGAAGACGATGAATTATTCTACAAGCAGCTGGCAGATGTCTCAAAATCACCAGCCCTTGTTCTCGTGAGTGACTTCAACCTGCCGGATGTCTGCTGGGAACTCCACACAGCAGAGAAGACGCAGTCTAGGAGATTCCTAGAGCATATAGAGGATAATTTCCTGCTCCGGCTGGTAGATGAGCCTACCAGAGATGGGGCCCCACTAGACCTGCTGTTCACAAACAGAGAGGGGCTGGTGGGAGATGCAGTGGTCAGAGGCCATCTGGGGCACAGTGACCATGAAATAATAGTTTTCAATACCCAGGGATGCAAGAAGGGCCATCAATAAAACCTCTACACTGGACTTCCAGAGGGCAGATTTCGGCCTATTCAGAAGACTAGTTCTGAATGTACCCTGGGAAACAACCCTTGAAAGTAAAGGTGTCCAGGAGGGATGGACATGCTTTGAGGAGACAGTCTTGAATGCACAGGAGCAGGCTGTCCCAGTGTGCCAAAAGGCAAGCTGGCGGGGAAGATGGCCAGCCTGGCTGAACAGGGAGATTTTGAAGGAAATTAGGGTAAAAAAGAGAGCCTACCGATTATGGAAAAAGGGATGACTACTCAGGAAGAGTTTAGGAATGTAATTAGGTCTTGTAGAAAGAAAATTAGAGAGATGAAGACACAATTTGAACTCAGTCTTGCCTCTTCTGTTAAGGATAAAAAAAAGGCTTATAAGTAGCTTAAAGTCATAGCATAGGTTTTTTACTTCAAAGAGAGTGTGAAAACAATTTTCTGTACTTGTTTTCTAACAAGTGAATGATGCTGATCTGGCTTCTAAAGAGTTACTTTAATGTTGGGGGCTAGAGTGTAGTATGTAATAATTTTATAGACTCCACGATGAATTTAAACTGCTATGTTGAAAAAAACCTGCTATTCTAGTGCTGTAACACATTGTAAACCAGCAGTGTACTTCTTGGAAATAGTTATTTCTATAGAACTTGTATAAATTGTGCAGCAATTATTTTAATGTATAATAATTATTATTTTATTATCTCTATGGAAGAGTTAATAATAATAATGGATGAACA